ACCTGAGACAGACCATTGGCCCATTTAGCCCAGGGTTGTCAACAATGACTAGCTATGGTTTTCCAGAATTTTTCCAGCCCTGCTCAGAGATGAGGAGGATTGAACCTAGGACTTCCTTCAAAAGAAGCGTGAGCTCTGCGCCTGTGCTTTGCCCCTCTTCTGCTTGTGCTCATGTTGCTTATTAAGAGGTGGATGAGGACTGCAGCTCATGGCTGTGTTTTAAATCAAATGAAGAACAAGCTGGAGAAAGGGATGGGAAGAATGACAGAGGATTAGCAACTTGGTAGACAGACACAATGAGGGTGAAATACAGACATATATTCAACATATGAAAGCAGCATAAGCTGGTTTCTTGCAGTGCATATTTTATGAGGCCTCTTTCTGCTTAGATGTCTCATCCATCTTCTGTTCTCTGATAGGATGTCAAAAATGAAACAAGCCAAAACCAAATGAGCGGAAAATAACAGCAAAAGAAGAACAGAAGATCTCTTTCCACAAGAAGCCAAACTTATTTGATCTTATGAAAACAACAATGCGCACAGAACCAAAGATTAGCTTCAAACATCAGACTGCAATCACATTTACAAGAGGGTCGACCCTGCTGAAGTCAGTGGAGCTTCTGAAAAGAAATGCGTGGAATAGCCGCAGATAGCATAATCAACAGCCGGGTCCATGATAAAGGTAAAGCAAACTGTGCACTTGCAATGACAGCTGCTCAGCATGTTCAGCATTCTTATTTCATGGGGCTAATCATACATTCCCGTCCTCAATTCCAAGTGTGACGATGATGCAACCCAACTGACCTTCCATGGGCCCAGCACAAAGCAAAGCTTGCTGCTTATATACCGCCCCATAGCGCTTCAAGCACTCTCTGAGCAGTTTACAATTTAATTATGCAGGCTACACATTGCCCCCCCCCCCAACGAGCTGGGTACTCATTTTACCAACCTTGGAAGGATAGAAGGCTGAGTCAACCTTGAGCCGGCTCCCTGGGATTTGAACCCCAGGTTGTAAGCACAGTTTTAGCTGCAGTACAGCGGTTTAACCACTGCGCCACAAGGCAGCCACAAGACTAGCTGGCTGCCTTGAGGCTGAACAAGATTTTTTGGCCTGCTTCATCTGATTGGCTTATTGAATAAAAGATGGGTGGGAATTTTTTTTCCGTATCCCTCAAAGTTAGGTCATACTGGTGAGTTAGTGCAGAAGGAGAGGATTAGTGGTGAGTTTCAAATGGGTGCACCCAAGTGGGTGCTAGCCCATCTGACATCCCTGCAATGCAGATCACAAGATTCTGTTGCTGGGGTGGCGGATGTGGTGGTGGTGGGCAACCCTGGCTGCCACTCACCTAAGGTCATGAGGTCCCTCCTGACCTCCTCTCCTGCCTTGACACAGGCAAGACTGAAGCCCTGGATCCATGCTGTCTTACAGCCTGTCTCTGGCCGGGGAGGATCACCGGCCAGAAACAGGTTGTTAGATTCCATGGTTCTGGGGCTTCAGTCTTGCCTGTCTCAAGGAAGGAAAGGAGGTCAGAAGGGACCCCCAGACCTTGACCCTGGTTTCTACACTATGATAGGTGCCTCTGCAGGAGTTTGGTGGTACAGTTCAAATGTTCAATAAATCTGTCAAATGTCTCTCATCTCATTATTCCAGGAAGGGGGAGAGCAATGTGCAGACAAACACATATTGTCTCAGCTGGCTCTTAGCAATGTTCACAACTCTATGGAAAGCAAAATAAAACCCCATTCCTATGTTATTCACACACAAAATCATCACACAGTTAGTGGGGATGTGTCCTCTGATGTCAAATCCCGATATGTTCTGTCTCTAACAAATCAAGATACTGGTGTTGCAACTAGAGGTAGGGACAGGCCGAATGTCAGCATGGAACAAGGACGCCAATGCTGCTCCCCAGGGTTTGTGTAATGTCTTCTGACAACAGCACTCCTCCCCAGTACGATTGTGGGTCCCCAGAATTTTCTGCAAACTCTCCCACCACAAAACTAGGGCCTTTTCCACTTGAGTATCAGCTCTCACACACAGTAACCATAGAACAATTGGCTGACTGTCAAGGAAGCAAAGGAACAAAAAAGAGAAAACTCCCACAACACTTCTGATCCTTAAAAGCCCACACACCAAAGCGGCAGACCTAGTAATTTAGCAGAATTTGCAATCAAGTGTTACTTATGCTATTAGTGCTACATTGCTTCATTTTAGAGGATGAGACAAGTGAGGAGTTCTATTTTTACATGAAGACTACACGTCTTCATGCAAATAACTTGGCAGTGGGACTTATGTAGTATATGATCAGTAATTTCCCTGATTATTTCAGAACCACCAACCTGAGGTTACTTAATTCAAGATTACTTAACCGGACCAAATTCCCCACTGTGGTCTGTCCACAGCTGGTCTTCTGCTGATCTGTGTTACTGGAATCAATAGAGGATAATATCTCAGATCTATTTATGTAGGATTCTTGACCTATCTTATTAAGGCTGGAGGGGAGATCATGCAATGTCACAAGAAATATTCAAGCAAAGGAAAATCTATTTATCCTGCAAAAGGGATAAATGAAAACCCACAAAATCCCAGCCACGAGATATCAAACTCAAGATCTAGTCCAATTTGCCTAATAAAATTCAGCCCAAATCAAATAAAATGTTGTTAATGCTTTCATACAATGATGAAACCCGTGCTTCAGCTGCCTTCAAGGGGGAAAATGTCAGTATTGTTGAACAGCTAGAGAGATAACAGACAAACCTATCCAAATATAATAATGTATTTCATGCATTTAAGAAATTTCATATCCTACCCCTCAATTCCTGAGGGCTCTCGGGCTGGCTCACAGAAATGAAAACAAAGCAGCTAAAAACAAGACCCACAGCAACCATGCACTAATACTAAATCAACATAGAGATGGCTAACCAGCAGATGTTGATTTAAGTGGACAAGTTAAACAAAAGTTAACTGTCTTAAAAATACGGCACCCAATTACATCAGGTAAAGCAACGTAAAACATACCCAAGGAATACATTCTACAGATGTGGTGCCAAACTATGAAAAAAGACTCATAGTTGCTACCTGCGTCGTTATATAAGGGAAGGACACTCAGAGAAAGGTCTCTGAAGTAATCTTCATAATTTGACAGGTTCATACGGAAGGTCTTTCAAATAAATGTATCAGTCCTCTGAGGATTGGTTGAGATAAGAGATGGGGACGAATCACCATTTTGGTGGGTCATTGTGCTTCGTGATCCACCAAAGTTGCTGAAGAACGAGAATCCTTCCCATGAACCGACGAAGCACAAATGTCGGTTCATGGGGTGGTGGTTAAACAGCCCGAGACTGTCTTTTAAAAAATGCTAACCCCTCCACCCCTCACAGCCTGCCCCCCTGCCCCCTTCCCACTACCCCTGTCACTTCCCTACCTTGGCTGCTGAAGTCTGTGCCGCCACCGCCACCCACGGAGGCCTGTGCCATGCCGGCCTCTGTAGTCACCATCCAGCACCGCTTGCTGTGATGGTCTCCACAGCTATGGCTTGCCTTAATGGAATCTAGGCTACCTAGATGGTGGTTGCAGCTTCCCTGCCTAAGAGAAGCTGTAGCTGTCATCTTTGCAAAGGGCAGCCTGGATTCCCTTAAGGGAGGCTAAGGGAATCTGGGTTGTCCTTTGCAAAGATGGCAGCTGTAACTGCCCTGCCCTAAAAGAAGCTGCAGTCGCCATCTTTGCAGCCAGTGTCTCTTACAGCAGGCCATGGCTGCAGAGGCCACCGCAGCGGGCGGTGATGGATGGTGGTGGTGGCAGCAGGTGGCAGTAGATGACAGTGGTGCAGGGTGGTGGTGGATGGCAGCAGTGGGTAAGTTAGGGAGGGGAAGGGGGCAGGAGATAGGCTGTGGAGGTGGTTGGCTATGGGGTTGGCTGGCTGCCTATCGGCAATCCTATGGGAAAGCCATAGGAAGAGAGGGAAGGCTAGCCTTCCCTCTCTTCGTATGGGGAATAAATAAAAATGGGGAAATATTCATCACTTCGTATTCATCGGGGGCTCTGGAACTGACAAATATGAAGGGGCAAATATTTAACAAATCAGCAATTTTTCATGAATATCACTATCCATTATTTTATTTGTTGCCATGTCTAGTCAAGATCCAATGATGTAATTAGGTTTCTAATGGTTCACCTTCATATCCAGCACCAGCAGAAACAATACTTGCAGCCTTTATTCCATCTGCAGTGCCCTTCATGATGCTAAAAACAGCAACCCTGGATCCAGAGGATGTCCAGCACTCCAGAGTAGCTTTTTAGAATACAAGTGGACTGCAATGGGAGGGGAATCATCAATTCTGGAGAAAGCAACAGGATTCAGTGAAAGTATACTATGGGATCATACAGCCTTCTTTCATTGTAACAGAACTCTGAAAGGAGAAACCTGCACAAAGAAATTAGAGAAGAAGGATGCAAAAAAATAAATAAATGAGGATAATCCTATGGAAAATCCTAAGTGATGTGCAATCCATTAAAATATCATTATCAAGCACAATAGTGACCATATACTCAGAATTTACTGTGTTGCAAGGTGCCTAAAGCACTTCACATGTATTTTCAGAGAAAGTAGTAATAATACTCGAAGGCAGGACATTATCATTACTCTTTCTCTCTTATTTTTTAACACACATGCACACACATGAAACCTGAACTAATATTAAACACACTCCTCTTTGAAGTGCATATTTCGTATGGATTTTTAGAAGGACTAGATAATAAAATTCAGTGAAATGTGCAGATTTTGAAACCTGGCATTCTGATGTAGTCTTGGTCTGAGAAACACAAATTAGATCTGCTTGTTCAAAAATATAGATCAAAGTACACTCTACAGTAACCCTGATTCTTAATAGGCATGAAGACTTAGATTGCTTAAGGCCAGCTAGTAAATTAATGGCAGAGGTGGGATTAGAACAAAGGGCGGTCTAGTTTAAGGTTCAGCCATTCAGCAAAGATGGAACTCTTCTAGCTGCTAAGAGCAAATTCCAAACAATCTGCTGTGTGGAATTCAATTCAGTTTCTTACCTGGCTCCAGAATTTTCCCTTAATCTACAACTGTGTTTGGAACACACACATGTTGCTGTAATTTTTCTGATTTGTTTCCCAATACATTTTCACAACATGACACTGAAGTTATCTCTAAGAACTATGCACTGTACTATCAACTACCTTTGTGACCTCATCTACAGCTGAAAATTGATTAAATCCAGACAGCATCTGGTAAGGCTTGTTTTAAATCATATTTCTCTTCTTTCTTGATTTAATCTTTACTTGAAATCCTTAATGTTCAATTGCCTATCTGCCCAATACTTTCCACATATCATTACAAATTCAAGCTCTAGGGAAAACATCATGTCATATTACACAGATGCTCTTCTCATTAAAATTATCCTGGATTCCTCTGTTTCTATTTAGATATAAAGGTTATTTTTTCAATTACATGGAAGTTCTTTGTAAGAAGTTGTTCGAATTTTACATGCTTATTCTGGTATTACTATATATCCATGGTGGTCCAGCAGTCCAATGGTAAGGAGATTGACATCAAAAGGTTGAGCTTTTCCTGCCCAGTTTGACCTGCCTCAACACTTTGGAGCTTCACAAAGCTGCTGGCTAGAGAGGATACTGACATCAAGAAGCTGAATTTTCTATATCTACATTTTGTAGTAAGTTTATGCCAGCCCATGGTTCACCATTCTGGAGATTTGATGAAGGGTTTTGTTTTTATATGTTTATTTTAAAAACTCTGTTTGTACATTCTTCCACGAGTTGAGATGTCACGGAAGCCTTGAGATTGAAGCAGGAACTCTTTAATGACCAGCCAGGTTAGCAGTGATGTCACCACCCGTAAGTGAGCATTATTTATTTAACAGAACTTTGGATACGGATTCGTTTGTTGTTTTGTATAGCAATATGATGGCTATTTGTAGGCGCTTTTAATGTTTTAAAATGGTTATTTGAAATGCTATGTGTTGTGAAAAAATGGGACACTAGGTGGATTTCATCCCCTCCCCACATACTCTGGAAAGCTTTCTCTGGTTTCCCCATCATTTTCCCCCATTATACATATATGGTAAAACTTTATTCCCTTGCCTTTTCTAATGCTACTTCCTAAACATTGCATTACCATCCTATGTATGTAAGATTTCCCTAAATGACACAGTGGTTCCACATCTGGAAGCAGTACCCTCTTAAAATGAAAATACTGCCTTTTTAAAAAAAAATAGGTTTGCCTCAATACTGTACACATTTGACAATTTGGCTTGCTTCTTGTTTGCACATCTGAGGTCTCAGGAAGATTTGCATAGCTCTGACAGACAATGTTAAAAAATAGGAAATCCACTCTTGCCTTATGTGATTTCACTCTTGAAATATTCTCTATGTTATGACCGCTACTGGTTGTGAATACAGCATATTTACCAACCACTCTTGAAATATTCTCTATGTTATGACCACTACTGGTTGTGAATACAGCATACATGAAGCAACCACAGTTACAAAATATTTCATACACTTTCCACACTACAGCAGGAATGCATGTCATTATTTAACACACGATTGAAACCTGCACTATGGTTCAAGTAACTACTTAAAATTTTCCTTATGCAGGTAAGATCTGTGTCATAATTATGTGTTTCATATCAACAAGACTGTTCATTAATTCCAGGCATTTCCAGTTCAGTTGATACACGTTCCAGGTCTCCTCCCAGCCTTTCCACTAAACTGGGTCTTTTTCCTCCACAGATAAAATGGTTGAAACTGGATGTTCACCTTACCTAATTAAAAGATTGCTGTTTGCGTATTTCAGCTCCTGGTACACTTCGTTACCTGACAGTCATTAAACATAAGTGGCTTTTAAGAGTTCTTAGTGTTTCCAAGAAAGAGCCTGACAGATATTACACCATCCCTACAGGGCCATCTAAATTCTGAGTTTTCCCAAAGTCAGTATTAAGTTGAAGTTGATGTAACCAGCAATGTGCCTGTTGGAATTGTGCAGAAATCATCTGAACATTGTAGAAATAACATTTATGTGACTTACCTCTTAGAGCTTTCCTAGTGAGATCTAACAATGTGGATGTGTTCCCACCAGACCCTCCCTGAGTGTGTGTGTATGTGTATCTGTTCATGCACAGTAGGGCTGGATGTTAAACCTTGCCACTTGGTTCACCAACAACTAGAAACACTTTACTGAAAAGCTTGATCCAAGTCAAAGTTCCTAGGGGCTTTACCATACCTCATTTATTCATGAGTCCTTCTGGCAGGCCCATCATGAGTATGCCCTCAAGTGGTTTTGCTCATTCTCCTGGGGAAGGTTCCTTCCCTAGTCCACAGTATTTTGCTCCTCAACTCCCCTCAACCCATGCTTCACATCCTCCCCCAGGGACCTTCAAACAGGTATTTTTCTTTACAGGTGGCGGGTACCGTTTGGTGCTTCTGTCACTTGTCCAACTTCAGCCGAGGCCCACTGTTGCACCTTCTGAGCTTGTTCCAGGTGCTGCAACCTTTGGAGCTGCTATCTGCACTGCCTGTGGTGCACCTGAGTGTGTGTTGGATACTTTGGCATCACTTCAGTGCGTGACTCTTCTGTCTCAAAGACTAGGAGTGTTCCTTGACCACAGGCACCACTGAAACAGTGTTGTAGCAGCTCTGGACTTGAAAGAAGGGGCTTCCCAGGTATCAGCAGTAAGGGAGTCACTCCTAAGCATCACACCACTCCTCTTCCACTTCCTCCTTCCTCAGCAAGCCTGCCTTCCCCTTTTCTCCTGGTGTCTTGAACCTTCCATCATGTTTTCCCCTGTTGACCCAACCTCACTTCCCCTCCCCTGAATTCCTATGTTGTCCCCTTAGGGCTATGCCTTTTCCTCCTGGAATATGGACCTTCCAAGGGTTTGGACCCATTGGGTCAGGTCATGTTCCTCTTGCTGACATTACCATCTCTTCGGTGTGTGCTGAAAGGTAGGCTGCAAGGTAGGGAAGTTGCAAGGGTTGGTCCAAGACCCATGATACAAGGTGCCCACTCACAGAGATGAAGATTACCTGAATTAAAACCATGCTTAGATATCATCAAAGGAAACCAGACATATTTATAATGAAATCATTATGATTCTAAAGCGGGGTTGGGTTCTCTTATGGAAATAAGGACTGATTTTCATTTTGACATGCAACTAGAAGGCCAAAAGGTCACCTCAAACTGTGATTCCTTGCCAAAACTCAGGGAGCCACTTCGATTTTACTCTGCCTATTTCATGGTTATTGTAAATTATTTGGCAACTAAAGATGGTTCACTGCTTTTCTTTTTGTGTGAGATTTTAGTTCTGCATGTTAATTGACTTAATTGCAGGAAGAAGTCTTCAACAGGAGTAATTACTTCCTGGCTTCCTTCCCTGTTAATTGGAGACTTTTGTAATTTCCTTTTACATGTCCCAATGGTTAGGGACTGTTTAGGCATCAGAGAATCACAGCTCTGTGCTTCTCTGATGCCTAAACAGTCCCCAACCATCGAGACATGTAATAGAATAGTACAAACAGTCCCCAATTAACAGGGAAGGAAGTCACGTCCCAGGAAGTAATTACTCCTGTTGAAGACACACTCATTCTCTTGAGAAAATTAGAACTGCTATTTTACGCAAGAAGTACTAATGTTTATTTACTAACTTTAAATCTGATTTCTGGTGGCTTTTAAAAATTGATATTTGGGAAAAATTGATACAACATTGGCTTGTGGGGGGGGATCATAAACAGCCAGCCACTGGACTGCATGATGCCCATTCCTGTTATAAAGAAAGTTAACTCCCGACTATAAAGTTGAAGTAGGCATACAGAGGAATATGCATTCCCTATCTTTCCCTCAGTAGGGGTTCCTCAGAGATGCATGCCTGGGAGAAGAGATGTGCAATTGAAGCCTCTTTTTACACCCTAAGGATAGGTCTCTAAACAAAGCAAACTAAATAGAAGCTAGGCAGGTGCGTAAAACTGGGTGCTATAAGAAGCAATCAATCAGCTGGCTGGAAAGCTCAGTAGATTAGATGTCTGGCTACAGAGCCAGAGGTTGGGAGTTTGATTACACACTGTACTTCCTGTGAGTAGAGCCAGTCTGTTTGACCATAGGCAAGCTTCCTAGTCCCAGGGCACCATCAGAATAAGAAAATGTTAAACCACTTCTGAATATTTGGTTATATATGTTGGCAGCCGCCTAGAGTGGTCGTTTGACCAGATAGGTGGGGTATAAATATAAACAAAAATAAATAAATAAATAAATAAATAATTGATTGATTGATTGATTGAATGAATGAATGAATGAATGAATGAATGAATGAATGAATGAATGAATGAATGAATGAATATTCTCTACCTGGAAAACCCTGAAAAGAGTCACCACCATAAGTCAGAATTGACTTGATCGAACATGGTTATTATAAGAAGCAGACGTCCTTCATTACGTGAGAGAGCATCTGTTCTAGATGTATGTGAAATATTTTAACTGCAAGAGCAGAGGGCCAGAAACTGTCAGCCTATCCAATGACTCTACCTGATGTCAGGTGCAGTACATGCAAACTAACTCTTCTAAGAAAAGTTGAGGAAGGTGAGAAGATGAGCAGAATATTCAGCTTGAAAAGATGGCAGAAGCCAGAGGAAATGGGACTGGTTATAAGTAGGTTTCAGCAGTATTCTTTAGATGTTTTGGGACCTTGCTCTTGCTCCAGAAGTTCATTTTCACTACAAGAGGTCTTCTGGAGAGAGAAAACGGCCACATAGAAACCCACCCACCCAAAGATGTCCCCTTGCTTCACCATTCTGGGGATGGGAATTGAAAAGGAAAAGAATGATCACTACAGTGGACCCTCGACTTACGGAATTAATCCATATTGGAATGGTGGCTGCAGGTCAAAAAGTCTGTAGGTTGAGGCTCCATTGACCTACAATGCATTGAAAACCTATTAATCCATAACCGGCGTTTTTTTTGTTCCGTTTTTGTTCCATTTTGGGTTCCCCCCCCCCAGTCTGTAGGTTGATTCTCCGGCTGCAATTCGAACCTAAATTTTGTGGCCAGAGAAGTCTGTAACTCGAAAAGTCTGTAAGTCGAGCCGTCTGTAAGTCGAGGATCCACTGTATCAGCCAACAATTCCACAAGCAGCTTTGTCACTACCCCAGACAACAGCAACATTAAATTAAAGACAGGTTCTTTAGCTTTCAAAGAATTTCACTGTCCTCTCAAACGCCCTAAAGAAGAGGTGAGGGATGGCAAAGACAGTAAGAAGGAGAATGGGAGAACATGAAAAGGGTGATGCTGGGGGTAAACTGAAATCCAGTCTAGACCACCATACACATGGGCAGCATAGCATTTGCTGTCTTTACAAGCAATGAACACTGGGTCAATGTTTTAACCAAGTTGTCTACCAAGGCTCACGTTTTCTTTTTTACTCATTTCCTGACAGACTATATTCTATCAGTATGTAAGTGGAGTTAGTAGAGGGTTTCTCACACCTCAATATATATCATTTTACACTTACTTAGATTGGCCAGATTGGCTCCTTTGAACTTTGCACAATTCGCCACATCAAATTGGGACTAACGGATAATGTGTCAAGATGCATCTTGATTGTGTAATCAGAAAAATGGCCATGCATGCAACTGAACTGCTTCCCAGCATGTCATCAATTACAGTTAGTCACAGTAAGTTGGAAAAATGTGAAGACCTTTAAGATTCTGGCCATTGAATCTCATCTGCCATTCTTATGGCCATTTGCCGACTAAGCAGAAACCACTTTGCAGATCTACTTAGTTCATTTCAGTTTCATCATTTTTCATAAGTTAATGCCTTCAATAGACAAGATTATCTCATTATTCAGATGCTGAATATATACACACACACACACACAGAGAGAGAGAGAGAGAGAGAGAGAGAGAGAGAAACCCTGACCTTTGAGAGATACCCAGGACAACTCACAAACATAGACAACTCACATTAGAATAATAGAAATTAAAATTGTAAAAATTTGAAAGATGAATATTAAAACATCAGAATGCAAAAATGATTGTCAATCACTCACAAAAGTTTGGAAAGTTCTAAGAATGCAGTTAGCCTCCACACCCTCTTATACTCCTTCCTTCATTAGACCACTCTGAAAGTTTGGAAGCTTTTGCGTCCACTTTACCTTAATCACAAGTTGATGAGTCACAGGCCAACATCCTGATCAGTATTCACAGCATCTGCTGCGGTGCAGAAGCTGCCATGGTGATCTGATGGAGTGCCAGTCAGATTGTTGGCACTTTGTCAGATTGTTGTAACAGTTTCTGCAGCTAAAGCACTGGACATGCAGAAATATTATGCAGGATACTGATCAAAGACCTTTGAAGATTAGAAGCATTGGAGAGGGATTTTGTGTGTTTTTACCACTCTGAAAGTGTTTTTGCACTTGCTGTGTGCGTGCCTTCTACAAGGAGAAGACACCAGTTTTTCTCAGACATATTTTGTGCAGATTGCAGATACTTTGATGGTGGGGGCAGGAGGTGGGTGGTAGCTACAAGGAGAAGACACCAGTTTTTCTCAGACATATTTTGTGCAAATTGCAGATAATTTGATGGTGGGGGTAGAAGGCGGGTGGTAAAACTCCTTGTCTCACTCTCAGACTGAAAACAAGACACGCTGTGGAGTTTGAAAAGATGTCTTCTCCAAATGAGACAGCCTAAAATGAAGAATTCGAGGAATATTCTTTACATCCTCCTAGAAACAGTTAAATCCATAGCTATGTTGAATACTAACTAGGATGATAATATAAACAAGTTTGCCTGGCACCAAATGTTGAGAGAGAGAGGTCAGATGAAATTAGTAATGATGAGCCACCACCATTGAGTTTTTCCCCTCCTTCAGCCATGAATACACCCCTGATATATGAGCTGCATGTAGCTAATGCAGAATAAACCTAATACCAAGACGTCGGGACACTGTGACAAAAAAAAAATTTCTGCGAGCAAGAATGAAACCGATGAAATTAGTAATGATGAGCCACCACCAATGAGTTTTTCCCCTCCTTCAGCCATGAATAAGCTGCATGTATCTAATGCAGAATAAACCTAATATCAAGACGTCGGGACACTGTGACAAAAAAAAATTCTGTGAGCAAGTATGAAAAGTTGGAGGCCCAAGGTTGGGGACCATTGCCTTTCAACAGTGCAAGGGATATCTTGCATTTTTCACATTTTGACACTTTGTTGTGACAATTTAATCAAATAAAGGATTTCAACAAAGAACCTTGTAGTTTGCAGACAAACACTTCTTTTTTTTATTTAAAAAATTGCAAAAAATTAAAAGATTTTACTCAAAACAAGTCACTTCCCCATAAAACAAAAGGCCCCTTTTTATACTAATGCTGTAGTCTTTTTTTAAAAATTCTTTTTCTCTCTTCTAAAACAGGGAACACTCTTGAGGCAGCTGAAAACGACTGATTGATTGGTTGATTTGTTTATTTATTAGGTAGTATTTCTCAAGACGTATTTTTTCATTGAGGCAAGAAAATCTGTGAATATCCATTACAGCCTTTCAACAGAGAATATGTTAAACTTTGAGACACAGATCAGCTCATTCCTGTGCAGGAGGTAGACTGTGCTTATTATTTCACAGTGGATTTTGAAGTTGGTCAGCAGATCTAAGAACAGCAAAAGTCCCACATGTAGATTTTTATGGTGGTTAGTTGCAGCATAAGCAAATCCTTAGTGCACACAAACTGAGTCCCGATCCAGACAGCAATGGTAAAATATACCCTTATGTGCCAAAACATGCCCTTACCTGAACATGCAGATCATGTTTCAAATGAAAAGAGAGAATATGGTAAATTGCATGTTCAAAAAAGAAAAACTATGTATCACTTTTTAGACAGAAAATGTTTGTTTGGTGTTCTTGGATTCAGAGGAGGAGAAAGAGATATAATTAGAATCTAAATCCATGCTATTTCTGTGAACAGAACAGTGTACGAAAGAAAATATCATTCGACTGTGCCAGCGGCGATAATAAAGTTTGGTGGAAATTAAACATTTTCCCCATTACACCTTGCAGCTGCAGTGCTTTTTGATAGTTCTCAAGTTCTGGGTTGGAAGTGAAAAATGGAAAACATCACTCTCACCCAATTTCAAGCACATCCTTAAGGGTTGTTAGCGTCTTTCCATTTTATAAGTCATTGCTTCTCAAAGTTGTACGGTCTTTCCAGAGTTTCAGACCATTTTGTTAGTACAATGTTTTAATGACACGAGGCTAATTTAGATCTCCTTTATCTCTCTTCGAAATGTCCTTAAATGAGGAACATGCTATTAAGAATGTGAAAATGTTCTCTTGTCTTCAGCTGAACACAAGCTATGCCATTTCATCAATGAAATGAAGAAAGGATTCAGAAAGAATGAATAAATGAATGAAATTAAGCCTTGGTGGCATATCTGCCTTTCATTAACAAGCACTCCTTTCATAATTGGCAACTGGCTGTCAAGACTTGCTTAGACGTCTCTGATATGGGGTCTGCCACATTATAGGGTTTGCACATTTCTCACAAAAAAGAAAATATGTTTCAATACAGGGCCACAGGGAGCATGCTGAAGGATTGGTAACCCTTTGTTTGAGAAGACTCTCAGCTTGATGAAGATCCATGCAGAATCAAAAGATTGCTTTTATGTTTGCAATTTTTTTAGTGTTCTAATGAAGAAAACATCCAATCTTGCCTTTCAGTTGTACACAACAATCACATGCCTCACTCACACACACTTTTTGGATTTAGTATTATTCATCTACTCTGAGAAGTATAACATACAATGCAGAACACACAAAAAGATGTTTTCCGCACTTAAGTTGTATCATACATGCACACAAGCACACTTGCTCTTCTACTATCATGTCCAAGGTTTGTAAATTGCAGTAAAGTGAGTTGGCCCACATACATTGGAGTCAATGTGAAATATTTCCCTGGATGTATGAAGGGGTCCATCACAGTTCTCCGTAAACAGACTTGGATGATTTCTGTGTAACATCCAATACTACTCCTCTTTGCCACACATCTCTCTCTTCTTATCTACTCTGATTTCCCAAGCTGTTCTCTCAACACCTCTTCCCTTTCACCCTGATGCAAATGATGAGCTCCTAACTCCCAAACTCTAACCATGTAACAATGGAGTGATATGAGCCCAGCTGGTAAATCTTCCTTTCCAGAGATAATGACTTGACTACATCTTCCCTGAGATAAGGGCAAATGATCAGCTAACGACTGAGGAAGCCTTCCTGTTATTTAAACTTTTCCAATTATTTTGAAATATTGTTATGGTTTTCAGTCCCAATTATAAGAGCTGCAAATCCAACAAAGGACATAACCAGCGGGTAAAAAAGCAGAAGAAGCTGGAGCCACCAAGGCATCTCAAGTTGAACATATTACAACTCATCCAAGAGTGTTGAATGAAAGTTTAATGGAGGCTTCACAATTGGGTACCATTGATTTATTTTGCTTGATCAATTTTTTTGTCTTCACAAGCTATTTGGGAGCTAAACAAAGGCAACTGGCATTCTTTAGAAGATTACTGTATCTACACATGTATTCATCATTCTCATTACTGTCCAATCAGTAGAGAAAAGGAAGCGGTTCTGTGCATTCATCTTTTGATTCTTTCAAGCTCTTCTGAAAGCTCAGAGTTTGTTGTACTCTTTATATACACGTTCATTCTGGTTGGTGTCTGAAGGCCAGCCAATTACTTTTTGCAAAAGTGAAAATGAGATGGGAAAAAAGTGCACAAGTTCCCTAGTGAATAACATAGTGTCTCCAGTTTCATTTGTTTTCCAGATAATCTGCAAAGCCATAGTATTAAAATTTAACCTATCTACCATCTTTCCAATACAGACATATAGCAAACAAGAATTATTTCTGCGTGCCAAGTGCAAAATGCTCTCCCACTTCACTGAACTAATGACAAAGAAGTTCTGCAAGTATCCCTTTCTTTCTTAAACAAACTGATTTTGTTAGTGTGTCTACATGTCATAAAACACATTTTACATAATTAAAAAAAGGAATTGGCTAGACAAGAAGCCACAGAAACATTAACCTGGCAACGAACCCAAGTGTAAAGAAGGTCATAGTCTGACGATATGTGGTACTGCCACCTCAAAGTGGCATTCTCTAATTAATGGATACAGAGTTCTATGCATTTTTTGAAAGTATAGAACTTCAAAAAGTTTATTTTATTGACTACAATTCCTAGAATTCTCCAGACTGCATGGCCAAAATATAAACATAATTAAATTACCTGCTGCTGGCAGACAACTCTGTTAACCTGGGTTTGTTATACTTGGTGTTGCCTAGGCACATTGTGGTTTCAAAGTATGTTCTTTGTATGTTCCTTGTATGTTCCTTGTTGACATGTTTATGAAGCTGATCATTCTAAACTCAATGGCCTAAATCAGCTTGCTAGTTCCGACTAGAGAAGGCCCATCAAACCATTCACTGAGTTATATTAATCAGCAAATCCCATTGATTCAATGTAAAGGTAAAGGTTCCCCTTGACTTTTGGTCCAGTCATGTCCAACTCTAGAGCGCAGTGCACATCCCCATTTCCAAGCCATAGAGCCAGTGTTTGTTTGAAGACAGTTTCCATGGTCATGTGGCCAGTGCGACTAGACACGGAACACCGTTACCTTCCCACCAAGGTGGTACCTATTTATCTACTCGCATTTTTACATGCTTTCGAACTGCTAGGTTAGCAGGAGATGGGGCAAGCAATGGGAGCTCACTCTGTTGCATGGATTCGATCTTACGACTGCTGTGATTCAATGTAGCTACCCAATTTGGGGCTATCAACTGGATTCAGGCCTAAATATGCAGATGGCAAAGTGTTTGTTGCTGGGGCAATAAGCCAGTTGGAGGGTGGCTGAAGACTGCTTTAAGAAGCAAGCACCATGTGCTTTTTCTGTTCTTAGGCAGTCCAACCTTTCTCTGTGAGATGGTCAATGTTTGATTAGATAGCCACGTGGAGAGTCTAAGGAAGGATCGATTCATTGTCTCATTTATGTGTTACCTTTTGGTATTTATTTTATTTAGTAAATTTATATTCTATCTTCCTCTTTTGCTGGATCCACGATGG